GCACGGCGCTAGACGAGCAAATGATGGCAGTGGTCCTTTCCGATGAGACCTGGGAAAGGATACCTGCGCAGGACACCTAAGACGTCGAGTGCACAGCGCACAGCTTAGATAAGCTGAGATGACTGTAGCCTTAGAGCTCCATCTTACCCACCACCTGGGAAAAGAAGCCGACAAAACAAAGGCGCCCACATGGACGGTCGTGGCACGAATCGCAAGTGTAATCCGTAGCCCACGCGATGGCACGCACCATTTCGAAGCAAGCCAACACTTCGATCTGCAGCCATTTGCATGCTCAAAAACGACGTGTCACCCGACCAGAATTCTCGTCAGACACGAGGCCAGCGGCCTGTCTACGAAGTTAAAGGTGCACGCACTTCTCATGCTCAAACCAAGTTATGCCATCGGAGAAAAGAAAAGACGATGGAGACACTGCTTACGATTTAGGATTTGTTGAGCACGCCAAACAACAAGAATGTGCATTAGAAAGTCTTTCTTGACCATTGCACCTTGCATTCCGCAGCCGCGTCTTGCAGCTTCAAAGTTTGCGTTTCCTCTCCTCCAGAGCACCCACAAGATGGTCGGCCGCGGTATTGAGTGGAGCCACTGTTTGGAAGGCGGTCCTCGCTCGTGGTCATTGATGGAGTGCCAGAATGCGGCCTTTACAACTGAAACAGCTCCTCGATTGCACCTGATTCTCTTTTCCGCCAATTTGACGGTAAGGCGGCTATGCGCATTCGTCCAGTGGCATCCAGAAGATGCCCAAGTTGCTGTGTTCCAGGCCGTAGAGCTGGACGACGATCCTCGGAACAGTTATCCTGCCGAGACGTTCTACGTCCGTGAAGTGCCCTCACCCCTTGTCGTCACCTGCAACTTGACACCAGTGGCGCCCAACAAAGTTGACGTGGTGTTCACCACAATAGCCGGCGAAGAGATGCTGCGAATCGCCGACATCTCAAACTTTTCGCCGGAGCTGGGACAGCTTGCTAAAACCGCTGCCGTGGAAGCGGCAATCCAAGGCCGTTTGCAGAGCCACAACCAAGCCGTCTGCACGGCGCTGGACGAGCAAATGATGACACTGGTCCTTCCCGATTACTGGTGGGACGCACTACGTGCGGAGAACACCTAAGACGTTATGTGCACAGCGCACAGCTTAGATAAGCTGAGATGACTGTAGCCTTAGAGCTCCATATTACCCACCACGTGCGAAAAGAAGCCGACAAAAAAAAAGCGCCCGCATGGACGGTCGTGGCACGAATCGCAAATGTAGTCCGTAGCCAACGCAATGGCACGCACCATTTCGAAGCAAGCCAACACTTCGATCTGCAGCCATTTGCATGCTCAAAAAC